ATATCCATGTATAGAAAAAAACAATAAACTCTAATTAGCAGACATGTTCAAGGATGGCATGTGGAATTCAATATATTTGAACCTTCTGGTCAACTGACTGCCAAAGAGAATTACTTTTTATTTCAATGTTTAATAACTTTTTCTCCAATGTTTTTCTTTTTCAACTTAGTAGGAATATAGTTAAGATTTTTCTCTATATTGAATTTTGTAATATTACCATCACAATAAATAATAACTCTTACATGTTATATTGTGGATTCATTCCTTCATTCATTTATTCATTCACTGAGGATCCACTATAAGCCACTGTAGAGCTGTGGAACTGACCTACACAGATTTCTGTACTGTCCTTGCATTCACAAAGTTTATAGTAGAAAGGGAATATGGACAAGTAAACAAGCAATCACGGTATAGCAGGACCTACATTATGACAAGAGAAGTCGAGGGTTCATGGGAACATGTAGGAATGTCACCCAACCCAGGGTTTAGAGAGCACGGAAACTTTCCGAGAAGTGATATCCGAACATTGGCCAAGAGTGCTCAATATAGAAGAAGTAGTATGTGCAGAGACATGGAATTGACAGAGAACAATGAATTTCTGAAGAACTAAAACATTCAATTTGTTTGAAGTGTCAGATACAAGGAGACACATGGTAAGAGATGAGCCCTGAAAGATAAGCAGAGAGAGATCATGAAGCCATTAGCACATCTGGATTTGGTCCCAACAAGACTTGGATGATGTAGAAGGAAATGATGATGATGAAGATGGAAAAAATAATAGGCTTTGGGGTGGCCATTTGTCATTATGGGAAAAACAGCTGGTGGTAGAGGAGGCTGGAGCAATAGCATTTGCCATTGGGCATCTATAATAAGCCAGACTCTATGATAACCAATTTCTTACTTAACATTCACAAGCTAACATGAATAAGTGTATAAACACTCTGCTGCCATGCTAAGAATGGTTTAGAGGAAGACAAAATTAGAAGGAAAACTAATTAGGAGGCTACCCTAGAATCAAAGTGCAACATCATGGTGGTTTAGACTACACTAGAGTAATACTGGTGGAGATGAAAGATGTTTAAAAAATATTCATGTCGAAGAATCAGGATACTGTGTACCCTATGGATATTACTGTAAACATCAATTCCCACTGTTTTTAATGCAATCTAGAAATTCAGGGTTAATGGATTGTATCCGTATTAAACCCAGATTGCACTCTTTATATGTCCTGGTTAATCAAACCTATTTCATAAGGAATATCATAAATTGTTGGGGTTATTTTTTTACAACAGTCAAGTTGAGAAACAAAAAGCATTCTGTCTTTTCAGAGCTCTAGTTTTCATTGTTATAAATATTGCCCATTTTGTCATTAATACAGAGTGAATAGGAAAAATTACAAGGTCCCAAAGAGCCCCACAGACTAGGATGAGACTGAACTAAAACCTTTCTTAAGAATTCCAAAGAATGTGTAGCCCCCAGAGCATTGCTATAAAGAGGGATATCATTCATTTACTAATGAACTCACCATGCAGAATGGGCTGCATGGGTTAGGGTGCAATTATAATGCATCTTTAGTATTTCTCGTATCCCCAGTTAAGCTCAGTCTGTGAATCCCTTTATCCTCAGCCTGGATGACTGTCATGCAGGCCCACAGCTTCCTGGTCCCTTCAGGTCAAGAGCAGTCTCACTTCAGTAATCAAAATACCCAGTGTAATAATCAAAACTCAAAACCTCATGCAATATAAGATTTCTCCTTTCCCTGCTCCTCAAGCCTTCCCCAGTCTTGGAGGCTTCGATAGGGGCAGGGATGTGTCCATCAGCTGTGTCCCACACCATCTACTCCTCCCCACACAGCATGATTCTAGAAATGGCTTCAAAGCTCTTCAGCCTTGGGCTCAGAGGAATAGAGGATGAAGGGAAAAGGGCAGAGTTGGCACAGTCTCTGTGCCAGTGACCATTGTAATTTGGTGTTGGGTCCTTCAGAGTGTGGAGATGGGTCTTTCCTTCCATGGGCAGTTAAGCAGCCTCTTCAAAAATCCCTTTGCTGGAAACCTCTGCACTGCTTTGAGGAGAAAGATGCCTCTTCTCTATAGAATCCCAACAAGGTCTTTCTGCCTGTCCAAGGAGTCCTTTAGAAAGAAAGCCTTCATTACATACACACACACACACACACACACACACACAGAGAGAGAGAGAGAGAGAGAGAGAGAAACAGATAGACAGACAGACACACAGACAGACACACAGACAGACAGACAGACAGAGACAGAGAGAGAGAGGAGATTGTTTGGATGTTTGTCCCCACAAAAACCTCATGCTGCATTGTAATCATCAGTGCTGGAGGTAGGTCCTGGTGGGAGGTCTTTGGATCATGGGGGTGGATCCCTCATGGCTTGGTGCTGTCTTCATGACCGTGAGTTCTCGTCACATCTGGTGATTTAAAAGCATGTGGCACCCTCCCCCTACTCTCTCTCCTTTTGCTCCTGCTTTTGCCAGGTGACATCCCTTCTACCCTTTCACCTTCTGCTATGATTGTAAGCTTCCTGAGGCCTCCCTATAAGCAGAGAAGATGCCAAGACCATGCTTCCTATAAAACCTGCAGAACTTTGACTCAATTAAACCTCTTGTCTTTATAAATTACCCAGTCTCAGGTATTTCTTTATAGCAATGCAAGAATAGCTTAATACAGAGAGAAACAGAAAGAGAAAGATTAAAAAAAGAGAGATACAGAGATACAGGCTGTCCCCCAGAAAACAGGCACTTTTCCCCCATGCAGCTCACCCCCAATACAGCCAAGCCAGCAGCTGTAGCCAGAGAATTTTTCCTCTGATCTTCACCCAGGGGGGTATCCAACAGGAATCTCACATTTCCTACATTTCAGTAACCAAGTGTCAAGCTTTCTGAAGGTTCCCCTGATGCCCCTCTCCCTGGGAGTAAGGTGATGGGAAGCAACACTACTACCCTCTACAAGTGCTATGGTTTGGCTGTGTCCCCACCCAAATCTCATCTTGAATTGTATCTCCCATAATCCCCATGTGTTGTTGGAGGGACCCAGTGGGAGGTAATTGAATCATGGGGGCAGCTTTTTCCAATGCTGTTCTTGTGATAATGAATAAGTCTCATGAGATCTGATGGTTTTATAAAGGGCAGTTCCCCTGCACACACTCTCTTGCCTGCCACCATGTAAGATTGCCTTTGCTCCTTCTTCACCTTCTGCCATGATTGTGAGGCCTCTCCAGCCATGTGGAACTGAGTCCATTAAAACTCTTTTTCTTTATAAATTACCCACTCTCACATATTTCATCACAGCAATATGAAAACAGACTAATACGCCAAGTGAGGGGAAGCAAAATGCACAGTTATTGATAATTCTGTCTCAGCCTGTCATGTGAGCTAGAGGCAGACAGCTGCAAAACCCATTTACACTCTCACTGGCATGCCTTACATCAATAGCCTTACACTTCATTTTAGGGTGGCACTTCACTTGGAAACTAAGGGTGTTTTTCTCACCTTTTAGGGCCTCTCCCAAAACTCTGAGACAACAGGAAGAGATGCACATAAAGATCTGTTATATTAAGATAGACTGGGGCCAAGTATTGGGAATTCTGAATATAATTCTCGTCTTTCTAATACTGCATCTTGAGTGGCAACCTTAATAATCCATATTCTATGTGAATGATCCAAAAGGTAATTCAGATACCTGGATGCATGGACAGATTTTCAGCAACAATCCAGGACCTTCCTTACTAACTCCCTAAATATTTCTGTCCAACTTTCCATGTCCTGACTCTTGATTCTCTCTCCTTTGCACTTGTTAACTGATCTTGAATTCCCTGAGTTATCCTTTCAACATACAATAAGCAATTTAGTTTAGACTCACATTTGCCTGGAAATAATAGAATAATTGCTCCAAGCTCTGGGCCAACTTTATCCAAATATACAGTAAGAAGTTTTTTATGTAGTATGATATCTGATACCCTGTGAAAATATTTCTTTCACCCAGTGTCTAAAAGGCTTATATTAAAAAATTGTTTTATAAATTTGTCTTAAGCATCACTTTTTTTTTTTGGAGATGGAGTCTCACTCTGTCACCCAGGCTGGAGTGCAGTGGTGCAATCTTGGCTCACAGTAACCTCCACCTCCTGGGTTCAAGTGAGTCTCCTGCCTCAGCCTCCCTAGTAGCTGAGATTACAGGCACACACCACCATGCCCAGTTAATTTTTGTATTTTTAGTAGAGACAGGATTTCGTCATGTTGGTCAGGCCAGTCTCAAACTCCTGACCTCAAGCATCACCTTGTTTTAAAATGAGTAATCATGGTGGGTATTTAGCAGAAATACATTCAAGTGCAAGGTCAAGAAGAACAAGTTGTACCACTTTTAATCTACAATTTTGTTTTCACAATTGGTATACATAAATTTAAAAGTAGTTCAGTTATTGATTTAGCTGCAGAATTCTGAATTTTAGATAAACAATAAATAACTTTTTGTATAAGTATATCTGAAATATTTCATGGGACATACTTATACATACACATATACATATAGTTAATCTAAAATTCAAATTTAGCTGGGCATTCTGTATTTTGATTGCTTAATCTGACAACTTTATTTGCTGGAGCTTCCAGCCTGACTGCCCATAAGCAGCTCTCAGATAAAATGAGCTCCTTCTAAAATGCATTATGTATTTAAATGGAAATAATAGATTTGCATAGTGATATGCTGATGATTGACCCCTGCTCAATTCTGAGTTCAAATAATCAATAGCACTTTCTTTCTAGTCTTCCTAAGAAAGAAAAGGAAGATGGAAACCAGATTAGCAAAGATAAGAAAACAGTACGGCAATACATGGTTTTTACTGTAATTTCATCCCAAGGATTTCTAGAAAGCCTCCAAAAATATATAGGGTCACTGAGAATAACTTTGGCTGCAAGTAACAGAAAACGTAGATTCAAACTGGCTTAAATAATAAGGAAATGCAGAATCACCTGTAACTGGAAGCCCAAGAACATAACGATGCCATGAGAGCCTAGGTTGTCTCTACTACTCCCTTCTGCCCTCCTCAGTGGCAGCTCCCTCTGAGAGCTGCTTCCCTTCATCGCAGCAAACATGGCTCCAAGTGACAACCAGAGCAGCATACTTCCCTGGCTATGCTGAGTAACTCTAATCATGAGAACGGCATGTGCTTATCAGCTTAGAAATCAGGGTTTCTTCTCGAGCTGGGGATGGGAAGGAAATCTAAACAAAAATGAGATTTTAAAGAAGTTGAGGAGTTTTAAGCAGGCAACAGTACCTACTAAAATCTATTATTGGTTATTTAACTTCTTATTCAAGTGGGCCATTAATTTGATGAGAAATCTGCCTTTAATGTGTCTATAAGTTTATAAAGCCACTGTAATTTGTTTGTATAACTTGATGACTTAAGTCTTCTTTGGAAACATATACCTAGATTAGAAATATAGGTAAACATTTTAATCATTTTATATACATGGGTTTTACTTTTTTTCTGAGACTTAGAAACATCAACATGTTTAAAGTCATTCCTGAGTCTTTCGTTTATGAAAAATAATAGTAATGATGACACATTAAATTTGAATAGAGTCTTACTTAAAACATTTTTACATTAATGTCATTTGTGTAAATGAGACAGGACAGGTATTACTAAAGACAGGACAGGTATTACTAGCCCCATATTTCTGAGAAGGAAACTGAGATCCACCTTGATATAGACACCTGTCCAAGATGACATTCAATTACATTGGTAAACAGAACAAGAATCTATTTCCTTTTGTCACAGCTTCCTGCTGCATTGAGTGGAAAAATTCTATGCATATTTTTCTCTCAGCACAAGGACCTATGTGTAATTTCTGGTCTATACATAACTTCTGGCCTCAACATGGCAATTCGTAATGGGGTTGGCTATGCTTTTTAAAACTGTAGCTACTTTTGAATTAAAAGTCATTGTGTTACATTTTTAACACCTTAACATTCCCAAATAATGTTGTCAAGAATTAATTTAGCTTCCTTCTCATGCAAAGGAATCCTACACAAAGTTTTACAACAGAGCCTCTTTTTTTCCACTGCCATTAAACAGGTTAGAATCATTTTTATTGTAAATACAGACATACATACACATATATAAACAGATACACAGAGCACAAAATAAACCCTGAACTGATGTAACCCAAGGAAAAAAAAAAAGGAAATGTACTTGTTCACAAAGTTTAAGTCTAGTGGTATCTCAACTTCCGGGGTTCAAAGAAGGATATCAGTTATTGGTATCTCTTTATCCCACAGTTCTGCCGTTCTATACATGAGCTTCTTTCCAAGGCTCTAATTGGTGACATGGCAGCTGCCTTTATTTCCAGAATAAAACCTCAATTCTTAAGTTTAATACAAAGGAGAGTGTGCTTTCTACCAATACTCCCATAAATGCCCCATTGTGTCCCATGGTCTCTGACAGGGCAACATGCCCAATACTAGTTTGAACATGTCCTCTAAAAAGTTGTGTGTCGGAAACTGAAACCCCAGTGCAACAGTGTTAGGAAGTGGGACCTAGTTAGAGGTGACTGGGCTATGAGGGCTTTGTCCTCATCAATGAATTAATGTCATTATTGCAGGAGTGGGTTTGTTATTGCAGAAGTGAGATTTTTATTGAAGGAATGGGTTCCTTACAAAAGGATAAGTTCAGTCTCTGCTGCATTCGGTCACCCTCTCTCACTCTCTCACCTTCCTCCATGGCATGATGCAGTAAGAAGCTCCTTGAAAGACGTCAGCACCTTGTTATTGGACTTTCCAGCCTCCAGAACTATGCGCCAAATAAATTTTTGTTCACCATAAATTACTTAAGCTCAGGTATATGTTATAGTGGCACAAAACAGACTGACACCCATCCCTCAAGGAACCATTGTGAAGAGAATATAGATCTCTGGTCAGACAAGCCAGTTAAATACCTACCGATGGAGCCAGGGTTGCAGTGAACTCCATCCAAGGCAAATAGATTAAGAGTGAATGACAAGTAGTTTTCTAGAAGAGAAACAGAGAAGGATGTTTAAAGAAAAGGGTGATTAGACACTGGGAGGCAAAAATTAATATCTACCACACTCATGAGCAAAAGCAAGAACTTACTCAACATCATGAGAAACTATCTATTGTTTCACTGCCTAAATAGTAATAGCATCTTCTTTTCTCAGGTCCTTTAGGAAACTGTATTATCCATCTTGATTATTCCCTGTGGTGCAACATTTGCACAGGGAATCTGCCCAAGGAACAATCAAGCACAAATTCTGAAGTTTGAGGTCGTGTTTGTCTTCAAAGAATCAGACTGGTATATATTGCAATCTATACCTGGCAGATTAAGAATAATTAACTGGGTGAAGAAATGATTTTACCAACAGGGAGAAATCCTGATCATGGGGTGTTTTGTGGAAAAACTTAAGCAGAAAGAGAAACCAAAAGCAGTAAAACTCAAAGAACAACCAAAAGAGCCATTCAAAGCTGGTTATCACTCAAATGGTTGTGCTGAGAAGTTGCTTTGTCTCTCTTACCGCAATTAACTAACTCCATATTAAATGAAACAATAACAATATTACAGACACCCATTGAGTGGAACTTTGCAGCCTGGTCACCATGGAGATGTTTCAAGTGCCCTCACATGAGCCTGCATTATTACAGTCCATTTTCCAAATGACTCTAGATTTTATCCTACTGAGTAAATTGCTTTCTGTCTCTCCTCTCTCTCTCTCCCCCTGCCCCTCACCTTTTCTTCCTGCCACTATCGAAAAGACAAAAAAAAAAAAAAAGAATAAGTCCTTGCCCCCTGAGGTTTTAGAATCTGTACTAGAGATTAAGCCAATAAGTTTAAAATTCTCAAATAGATGCTTTATAATAGTATAAAGGTAATCGAATGCCAAACCAATATGTAACAAAATATATGTAAGACTGATGCTTTTACATAGAAAACCACTGCATATTGAAAAAAACAATAAAACCTAAATAAACTGAAGAATATACCAGTCTCATGGATTGCATGACTCAAAAATGTAAATATAGCAATTTCTCCACAAATCGATCTGTAGATTCAATGTGATGTATATCAAAATCTAAATCCCAGAAGCTTTTTAAATACAATTTAATTTGTTTAATTTACATGAAAAACAAAGGACCAAGAATAGCCATTAAAATGATGAAAAAGAACAAAATTGGAAGATTTTATACTACAAGATACTGAGACATCATACCAAGACATTCTAAGATTACAATCATTAACAGTGTAATACAAGTGCAAGGATAGAAAAATAGAACACTGAAACAGAATATAGAAATAGATTCCATAGCTACACTAATTCAATTAGTGGCAAAGATGAAATCACAGTGCCATAGGGTAAGAGTGGTATTTTCAATAAACGATGCTGGGTCAATTGGGCATCCATAAAGAAAACATAATGAAGCTTTAATTATAGCTCACATCATGCACAAAAATTAATTACAGATAGGTTGTAGGTGATGATATGAAAGGTAAAATTATATGTATTTCAAAATAAAGGACAATGTCTTCACAATCATGAGGTAAGAAAATACATCTTAAGCAGTACAAAAACACACTAAACATAAAAAATAATTAATAAACTAGATGCTATTAAGAAGATTTTCTCATAAAAAGACAGTAGGGAAAAAATTGAGATGTATACTTTTTGCAGAAGATGCATACCCAGGCCAGGCATGGTGGCTCACAGCTGTAATCCCAGCACTTTGGGAGGCCAAGGCAGCCAGATCACCTGAGGTACAGAGTTCAAGACCAGCCTAACTGACATGGAGAAACCCTGTCTCTACTAAAAATACAAAAATTTAGCCAGGCTTGGTGGCACATGCCTGTAGCAGGAGACAGAGGTTGCTGTGAGCTGAGATTACGCCACTGCACACCAGCCTGGGAGACAGAGTGAGACTCAGTCTCAAAAAAAAAAAAAAAAATGACTCATATCCAGAATATATAGAGACAGATAGCCCAAGAGAATAATGGGCAAAATAATTGAACAAGCACTTCCCAAAAGATGATATCAAAATGGCCAATTTACATATGAAGCAATGCTCAACTTTATGTCATTAAAAAGGCATATTAAAACCAAAATGAAAAACACAGAAAATGCCAAGTGTTGGTGAGGTTGTTGAGTATTCAGAACTCTCATACATGGCTAATGAAAGGACACATTGATACAACCACCTTGAGAAAACTGACTTTATCTACCAAATCTGAACACATGCTTATCCTCTGATGTAAAAATTTCATCCCTAGGTAGATAGCCAACAAAAATGAATATATTCATTCAAAGACATTAACAAGAATAATTATAGGAGCATTATTCACAACTGCCAAAAACTAGAAATGCCCCAAGTATCCATAAATAGCAGAATTTACACAAAGGAAAACTATTATGGTGTTAGTTGTTAGGATGGCATTTATGTTTGTGGGGACAGTGATGAATGAGAGGGTGTATAAGGGAAGGTTTTGAAATGCTAGTAAAAAAATAATGTGTTTTTGTTATGAATGCTGTGGACACATATATTCACTTGGTGAAAATTCACCAGAAATTCATTCATGATCTGTACACTTTTCCATGTATATGTTATACTTCATTAAAGAAGTTTTTGATGCTATAGTTAAAAGAGAGAAGGAGCAATGTATTAGTCCAGTGGTCCCCAACCTTTTTGGCACTAGAGACTGTTTCAGGGAAGACAGTTTTTCTACAAACAGGTTCAGGGTGATGGTTTCAGGGTGATTCAAGCTCATTGCATTTATTATTAGATTCTCAAAAAAATCATGCAACTTAGATCCCTTGCATGCATGATTCACAAGAGCATTCAGGCTCCTGTGAGAAGCTAATGCCACTGCTGATCTGATGAAGGCAGAGCTCAGCTTTACTCACTCACCTGCTGCTCACCTCTTGCTGTGTGACCTGGTTCCTAAGAGGCCACAGGCCTGTATCCATCCATGCTCTGAGGTGGGGATCCCTGTATTAGTGTATTCTCACACTACTGTAAAGAAATAGCCGAGACTGGGTAATTTATACAGAAAAGAAATTTAACTGGATCATGGTTCTGCAGGCTGTACAGGAAGCATGACGCTGACATCAGCTCAGCTTCTGAGGAGTCCTCAGGAAACTTACAATCATGGTAGAAGGTGAAGGGTGAACAGGTATGTCACATGACAGAGCAGGAGCAAGAGAGAAAGGAGGAGTTACACATTTTTTTTTGGGGGGGGGATGGAGTTTCACTCTTGTTACCCAGGCTGGAGTGCAATGGCGTGATCTCGGCTCACTGCAACCTCTGCCTCCTGGGTTCAGGCAATTCTCCTGCCCCAGCCTCCTGAGTAGCTGGGATTACAGGCACGCGCCACCATGCCCAGCTAATTTTTTGTATTTTTAGTAGAGACGGGGTTTCACCATGTTGACCAGGATGGTCTCGATCTCTTGACCTCGTGATCCACCCACCTCGGCCTCCCAAAGTGCTGGGATTACAGGCTTGAGCCACCGCGCCTGGCCCACACATTTTTAAATGACCAGATCTCGTGAGAACTCACCCATTATCATGAGGACAGTACGAATGAGGATGGTGCTAAATCATTCATGAGAAATGTGCCCCCATGATCCAATCATCTCCCATGATGCCCCACCTCCAACACTGAGGATTAAAATTGAACATGAGATTTGGGTTGGGGACACAGGTCCAAACCATATCAAACAAAAAGAGAGAAGTGTTTGCAAATGCTCAGAAAACAAACGAATTGAAACAAGTTCAATGTTGGCCACTTGTATCTGTCAATTGAACATCACTTCATGTGACATGCTAAGCAGGGAGCAGCCCCATCCTGAGGCAATTTCACCATCAGTACCAGATGTGATGGTGCCCATGGATACAAAATTTCATCATTCTCTCTCAGGGTTTGAGGAAACACAAGAAAATGTTTTCATAGTCTGATAAAAGATGCCAATTCTACTAACATACTGGTTTGGGTTTAGCAGGGCCTATCTACATGCCTGCCCTTGGTGACATCATCCAATGTCCTGGTTTCAAGGGACATCTAAATGCCAATGACTCTAAAATGTATAAACCCAGCTCAGAACTCTCCTACACTTCAGACTTATATAGGTTGAACTACCCAAAATCGCCATTTCCATAGGTCAGAAATGAGTGACTTCATTTAGTTCAGCTCGTAAGTCAATTGCCTAATTGATATTTCTAATGAGCATCTCTAATATAACTTATCCAAAATCAAATCTCCACTATTGTGGTTTCCCATCTCAATACCTGCCAATTCCATCCTTCCTTCACTCTAGACAAAAAACCTTAGAGTAATCATTGACTCCTTTCTCTCTTAGATTATACATCTCATCCATTAACAAATCAACCCTGTATGGCCTACCTGCTAAATATATCCAGAATAAGACAACTTCTCACAAACTTCATGTTATTACCTCTGTCTAAGCCACTAGCATTGATTGTAAGACTTTTTGCAATAATTCTGTCCATGTGCTTCCTCTTCTCCCAGCCCCAATTTAGTTCCTCCCAGTAGCCAGAGAGATTCTTTAAAATGCTAAGTCAGATTGTGTCTCTCTTCTGCTTAAAATTTTCCACTGGTTGCCCATCTCACAAAGAGTAAAAGCCAAAGTCCTACAATTGCCTGCAAAGGCCTATGCCATTTGTCATATGCAATAAATATTTGGTAAACATCAAAGACCCAGGCTCTCCAGCTCCCTACTCCACCATCCTTCAGGTAAGACCCATATCCCCAGGGTCCAAGATGGCTACTCAAATCTAGACTTCACACCCACATTCTAAGCAGCAGTGTTGAAAAAGTAGGAAGAAGGAATGCCCTCTTTTTCCTAAGGAGATTCCCAAAAGTTCCACACATTATTTCTGTTTACCTCCAGACTTAAGCCAGGGTTTCTCAACGTTAGCATTATGGACATAATAATTCTATGCTGTGGTGAGCTGGCTTTTGAACCATAGGATGTTTAGCAGAGTCCCCA